AGGACAGCTGAAAATGGGAGTAAGGATAGGCCAGGTACTCCTGTGATGCTCCATGGGCCATGGTGACAGAACATCTGGAGCTAGTATGGGGGCTAGTATGAGTTCCAAGGTACTCCATACTGGAGCCACTTTGGCAAAACAGCTGAAAGTGGAGCAAGCATGGCCCTGGTGGCCCTGGAATGCTCCAGGTTGGTGCCACCCTGGCAGTATGGCTAGAGCTGAGGTGGATACAGGCTGGGGCCCTCCATGCAGGGGGTGCACTGGTGGGACCACTGCAGCTGAAGTGGGCATGGGCCAGTGGGCCTCAGAGTGTTCTATGCCACAGGCACCCTGGTGGGACGGATGAAGCTGGGGAGAGCATGGGCAGGCAGGCCTCTTAGGGGGAATGGCTAGAGCCAGTGTGGGCTAGGGGCCAAGGTTCACTGAGGTGGTGGGCCAGCCAGAATGTCTGGGCCCTGCTCCCATCTGTGCTATCAACAGAAAGGAAACATAAGAGTGGTGCTCGCCAGTGCTGCCAAATGCAGAGACAGTTCCAGAAGTTGCTCCCCAACATTGGTGGACCCTCTCACACTAGTAAATGTGTTTCCTTACTTATAGTCTAATTGCCCTTGAAACCACTGGTTTTTTGGGGGGAGGGGAGATGTTGCTTTGCCACAGATCTGGGAAATCTGCATCTGGGTCTTTCAGTGCTGTCCCTATCATAGTTCATGGCATCATGAGTGGGGTCCCCAACATTACTGTGTCTCCATTTCTCCTGCCATTTTCTATGTGGTCCCTCTATCCTTCATTGTGCAGCAGCTGTTCCATCTGCCCTTGGTTGCTTCTTCAGGAAGAATTCTTCTACATGTAGGTATAGATGCAGTGTGTCCATGGGAACAGGTGAGTTCAGGATTGTCCTATGCTGACACCTAAGACTCCTCCTCCTGTAACAGCATTGTAAAGGTGACATTTCTTCTTTTTTTTTTTTTTTTAGATTTTATTTATTTGACAGAGATCACAAGTAGGCAGAGAGGCAGGCAGAGAGAGAGAGGAGGAGGCAGGTTCCCCGCTGAGCAGAGAGCCCGATGTGGGGCTCGATCCCAGGACACTGGGACCATGACCTAAGCCGAAGGCAGAGGCTTTAACCCACTGAGCCACCCAGGCGCCCCACATTTCTTCTTTTGATTTTGGGTGACAGTTCCTGCTTCTTTGCAGATATACTGCTTTTCAAATTTTAAGCTGTATGTTGTGTATTAAAGAACGGAGACTGAAGGAAATTAACAGGTAGACCCATCTCTCAGAAAGGTCACACCTTTTCCCATCAGGCAGCTATGCTGAGGGCCTGACCTCTTCATTAAATCAGATATTTAAACAGTTTCAGGTCCCCTTCTTGCTTCAAATATCTTGAAAGGGAAGTCTGTCCCCTACCTCCAGCAGGGCTTTGGGACTCAAATAGCAGAAAACCCAGGTTTCTAGCCTTGTCCTAATTCCAGTTTGGGTGATTTTATATCAGCTCCTTTCTCCCACCCACTTTCCCATATTTTGGCCCAGAATGGACTCATACATGTTAACACACAGCTCTTAGGCCTGGAGTCCATGGCTGCTTCCCCAACATTGAGCACAGGTCAGAACAGGGGAGGGGGAGTGTGAGCTGCATGGATACATGCTATATGAAGCCTGCAGAGGTTTCCCTGCAAATCCTTCAAATGACAGCAACTAACCCTTGAGCCCAGTGAAGGAGATCCCTTAGGTCCCCAAAAAGTCTCCTCTTCACTCTACCATGAAAAGCAAAAATGAGCTTTCCTCAGTGGATTCAGCTGAGAAGGAAACTTCTTCAGGGAACTGGAAGAATCTATAATTTGCATTTTAGACATCTGGGATCAAGGTGGCCTTGAAGAGTGACTTTGGAATTTGAAAGACTGACAAATCTGGGTTTCAGAAACTGATAGCTGGCCATACACGCTAAGCATTGTAGTCCCTGCTGTCTGGAATTGTAAATGGTTGGCTTAAAATTGACTTAGAGCTCAGTGCTGTCTCTTGACCACAGGGGCTGGTATGTCATCCTCCTATGAGCATCAGCTCTTTGATTCTTGTAGCCGAAACACCCAATCACCTCGCTGGAAAGGGCTTCTCTGGCAGGAATGTCCAGCGTTAGAACTGGAACCTTACTGTCTCCTCTCCTCACTGTCTGTCACACAGAGAATCTCCTACAGCACTAGTAAGCCTGGGGAATGACTGCTGGTGCCACTGCGCCCAGGTCCCCTCCCACCACCACCACCACCACCACCACTTGTCAATCAATATGCCACGTCTGGACCAACAGACAGATCAAGGGGTGAGAGACATTCTTAATCTTGAGCCTCAGGGACGATGCCAGTTTTATGAGACTGCAGATAAAGATGGCTGTCCTGTCCAGCGGTGTCGTTTGCCCCAGGCTCTCCTGTGACATAGGCATCATCTCACTCTACGCCATATTTTTGTTTTTATTTATAAGGCAGTTCCTAAATATTTTTTTCTTTAAAGATTTTATTCCTTTATTTGACAGAGAGAGAGACAAAGAAAGAGGGAACACGACAGGGGGAATGGGAGAGGAAGAAGCAGGCTTCCCACAAAGCAGGGAGCCCAATGCAGGGCTTATCCCCAGGACCACAGGATCGTGACCTGAGCACAAGGCAGAAACTTAATGACTGAGCCAGGCAGGCGCCCCAGGCCCTCACTTTCATAGACATGTGCTTATTTAATAGTAGTTGAGGGTTAATCTTTTGAGCTTAAATATGAAAATTTTTGAGTACTCAATCTAACAGCCTGTCTTAAAGCAGCAATCAAAAGAAACCTGTCCAATGAGAGCAAAATATAAAACTATAGAACTGAAAAGCATATGGGTGTTCACTGTAGAATTCTTTCCATTTTTTCTGCACTTTTGAAATCTTTCACAAGTTGTTCGAGGGGAAGGGGATGATCATTTCAATAATGCTCTTGAACTTTGACTTCCTATGGAAATTTCACAGAGCCACTAGTGGGAAAACACATGGGTAGCCATGTCTGAAAGTTTATCATTTATAGATATAAAAAGAAAAAATTAACAAAGCCTTATTTTCTCTGAATAAAATTTAGAAAATAGACAAAAGAAGAATCTCTTATAAGCTCACTAATGCAGCCATTAAAAACTTCCTCTATATTGTCTTTTCAATCCTGTTTGTGTATATTTAGTTTTGTGTTAATATTTTGTAAACCTTTTAAAAACACTAATTTGTTTAATGGCTATGTGGTGTTCTACCATATTAAGTTTTATAAATGTACCATACAATAGTTCCCAAAACTAATTACTCACAAAATCACCTGGGAACATTTTTTTTTTTAAAATACAGATTCTTAGAACCCACATACTAAATAAGAATTTCCAGGGATGCTGAGGAATCTGAATTTTTGAAGCTTACCCTGTGATTGCAATGCATTTAATTAACCTACTTAATTAATTAGCACATACTTCATTTATTTAATCCACTCTTGTTGAATATGGAGCAGTTTCCAAGCTTTTTACTATTGTAAACAATAATCACAATAATACCAATATCTGTAAGGACAGGTACCAATCTTCATACACAGACATTTATTTCCCAAGGATACTAAAGTGGTTTGTTTTAAAAAAAAAAAAAAATTTAGTGATCATGGAATTGTAAAGTAACTGCAGTTTTCAGTGCTCACCCCACCACAAGCAGGGAACTCCATGGAAGATTGGCAGTCCTCCCAGCTGACTTGACTACTTCAGAAGGGGTCCACTGGGAGATAAAGAGTCCTAATAACCCTAAAAAAGCAGCTCTCAAGAAGGGAGAGGTCTGCCTCCCTCTTGTTGCAATAATCACAAAGCTTCTCTCAAAAGGGCCCCCTTGAAACTAATAACACTGAAGTTGGCTCTTACTATCTCTGCTGTCTCATGCTGCTCTTTTAAAGTTCACATTTGGTAGTTCACATGGTATGAGTCCCCAAGAGCAGTTTCTCAAGCTTAGTCCCATAGACTCCTAACTATTCTCAGGCATCTCAGCGCAATACATTTAAATGTAATTCCACTTTGATGTTAATATACATACAAGGTTCAGGTTCACCAGGACAAGCCACATGATAGCCACTGAATTCGAGGGACTGCAGTCCTATGTTGAAGATCAAAATGGCTCAAGGTCACCACCCAAAAACAATTAAATCAATGTTTCCCAAACTAGGATCTCTGGACATAAAACCTCAGGGTTCCTAGACAACTTCTGCTCCCTTAAAAGGACTTTTTACCTTACTGGAAGTTTGACCCACTGACTTAAAGTGGACGGGCTATACCGCTCTCCTGACCCGCACTCCGCAGAAATGAAGGCTGCACAGTGCTGCACACCAGGTCACTTCGGAGACGTCTGCACTGGCCTCCCAGCCGCAATCCTTGACCCTTCCCCAGAACAATGGGCATCAGATCCTTGCCTTTTGACTTCCTGACAGAAACTAACATTCTGGGTCTCAAGAAAACGTTCAGATTATCAGGCCCAACCCACTCACAGTGATGGGAAAAGGGACGCTGGAGATGGGAAGTGCCTTAAGCGACGTCACACAGCTAGTTTAGCAGCAGGACAAAACTAGAGCCTAAGCCGTCCATCCCAACTTCAGTGGCTCGGCTACTCTGTAGAGACGGCTGATGAGCGACCCCATGGACCTCATTCCCACCATCCTTGTCCCATTTCCGTAGTCCCCTGATACCCGAAGTCCCCGGAGTCCTCTTCGGGTCGGCTGGCTCCGCTCTACTCCAGCTCTTCACAAGCAGTCCACACGCCCGAACCACAACTGGAGGTTTCTGGCCTTCCCCCGCCTACAGTACAGGGGAGCTGAGGAAGTCCCACGAAGCATAGACACGGTGAAGACTAGCCGCGCCCACGGTGTAGCAGAGCCGCCACCCGGCGCAGGCGCCACCCTAGTTCGGCGCGCGTCAGTGACGTCACAAACGACGCCGCCTGCGAGCCCGCGCGCATGCGACTCCAGGTAGAGTTGCAGCGTCTCAGTCTGGCCACTTAGCGTGGCGAGCGAGCTCGGGCGCAATACCTCCCTCCAGCCCAAACTTTAACGAGAGAAGTGTTGATGGCCGAGGGCTGCTGAGAAAAGTGAAGAGAGGTAAAGAGTGAGAGTCGCCCGCTGGAAACGTCATCGGAACGCACCGGAAGCGGCCGGAGGATGACGAGTAAGTGAGGTTGAAGGCCTGTGTGCAGGGGAGGGGTGGGATGTAAAGGGTTGGAAACTTGGTGCTGGTAGGTGGACCGGTTCGCAGCGGAGACCGACTGAAACTGCTAGGGGAATTGTCGCGCCTTACATAAGGGAAACCGAGGCCCGGAGTCCCCATTGGCCTGGCGTAGTCTCTGCGCTGAAGATTGATGTCAGAGCTGGCGGCAGGTCCCCATGGGTCCCGCTCAGTGTGCTAGAGGAGGGCCGAGGGCCTTGGGCCGACTTGGCCACTGCCTGCCACCTGCTGACAGTGGTAAAGGCCCGGATCCTCTCTACGACCTGGTTTCCCCTTCTGTGAGGTGCTGATGGTGGTTCCTGCCCCGCCGGCTGTTCTGTGAACGACCCTTGTCTGGTAGAAAGCTCTGGGAGCCTGCTGAGGAATGGTATTCCTCCCCGGACTTTGGGAGTTGAGCAGAGAAGAGCTATGCCTAGGGAGGGAGCAAGCGCCCAGGGCAGTTATAAGCAGGGGAGTGTAGACGCCGTTAAAATTGGTCTTTGGACCAGTATGTTCATTTCCACCTCTGCCACTTCCTCTCTCTGTAATCAAGTTATGGGTCTCAGCAAGTCTGAGCTTCAGTTTTCTCGTGTGCATTATAGGAATAAAGATTGTTCAGAAAATATAATGAGATAAAATGTTTAGCTCTTAGCCAGGTGCATGTGAAGTAATGAGTGCTCAGTAACTGTTAGATGTGGATTGTTCCAGAAAAGACTTCCAAGTCTAATCGAAGCACCCGTGACAGGTGAAGCAAAGTCATTCCTGGGGTTGCTCTTTAGAAACAGATTTTAATGCCACTCTTGCATTTGAAGGAGAACCAGACTCTGTATATAATATAATGATATGATATGTATATAATATACTGTGTATATTATATAATATAAACACTTTGGTTTGCTTGTTCAGATGTACTCAAGGAAGCACAAGCGAGCTAGGATGGAGTTTACAGACTGCCATGTGAACCAAATTTTCTAGTCTTTTGACCCTTAAACCAGGCCTTTGTCTTAAACTTACTACATTTACACCCGTACTCTATCCGCAGAACCATATTTTTCTTCTTCACACACATGAAGTAAGAAACAGACGTGTGGAGTTTTTAGAGGTTGAAAGCACATTGCTCTCTATATATTTTGAGCTTGAAGAAAGACCTACTGTGTTTTATCAGTGTAGGACACCATCTACTGTATGATACACCCCAATTTCATAGATATTGAAATGTGAAAAGTCTCTTTTTTAAACATCTTACAGCCAACAAAATGTAATATTTGCAACCATCTGCGTCCTGGGAAGCTCTGTGATATAACGTTAATATGAGTTATTCAGACTCACAGAGCGACTATTCAAGGCCCTAACCTGCGGTACATTAAACCAGTCAGCTCCTCGTGTGGTCTACTGACCTGCAGGAGCATCTGAAACTTGTTAGAGATGCAGGGTCTGAGGGCGCCTGGGTAGCTCAGCAGGTTAACCCTCTGCCTTCGGCTTAGGTCATGGTCCCAGGTTCCTGGGAAGGAGCCCTGCATCAGATACCCTGCTCATTGGGGAGTCTCCTTCTCAGAAGCCCTACTCTGCAAGGGGGTCTGCTTCTCTCTGACCCTAACCTTTGCTTGTGTAGGCTTTCTCTTCTCTTTCTCTCAAGTGAATGAATTTTTGAAAAAGTCTTAAGAAAAAGAAAGAGATGCTGGATCTAGGAGTAGGACCCAAGTATCTACATATAATAAGAACCTAGAGTTTCCTACATAAATTAATATTTGAGAAGCATTGTTTTATATTTCTTTCTTTCTAAAGATTTATTTATTTAATTGAGAGAGAGAGAGAGAGAGAGCACTCCACAGGTGTGGGGAAGGAGAGAGAGATTCTCAAGCAGACTCACCTGGAATGCAGAACCAGACACAGGGCTCAATCCCAGGACCCTGAGATCATGACTTGAGTTGAAATAAAGGGTTGGACACTCAACTAACTAAGCCACCCAGGCATCCCGAGAAACACTGTTTGAAAGCACATTCTTGGAACTTAGGGTGGGTGACAAGAGGGTAGAATAAGAGGCATCCAGGAAAGCTTAGAAGTCTGTGCTCTCTGTAGCATTCCTGTCTTCTACTACCTCTAAATAACCATAGTTAGTTTCATAGTTAGAAGAGTCATGAGTCTGATAGTCATGCCCAACCTGAATTATCATTTCTTGTTTGTTTGAATCCCCCAGGTGTGATCTACCATGCCTTTTCTCAGAAAGAGGCCAAAGAGCTCGACGTTCAGGTACAGTGCATGGCAGGAAGTCTGGGAGCAGCAGAGGTGATGACAAGGATGGCTCGATCCCCTAGCACTGCTTTAGATGTCCTTCCCATGTCTTACTCCTCATCCTTCCAGTGGATGTGTTGGGCTCCGTTGAGATCTGTTGTTCTGATGGCCTGTTTCCAGATGCTGCCCTCTTTTTCCCTTGTTTGGTTAACTGGGACCTCTTGATCCTGTGTCCTCTCCCACTGTGTAGGGGACACTGGCTATGCCCACCTGAAACCTGCCCTGGTGAGCACTGTCATTTGGCTTTGTCACTGTGCCCCCTTCGCTCTTGAAGAGGGCAGGTGATCACATTTCCTAAGTGGCATTTCTGGATTGTATCTGGGTGCTGCCAACATGCTTGTCAGTTTGACAGAAGCTCCACTGGGGACTCCTAATGAGGGAGTTATCAGGAAATCAAGATTTTGAAAGACTGATATACTTTTATTTGGTTTCTTCATGAAGAAGGCCACTTAGGTATTTTTAAAAAGTAAGTAATATTGATGATAATGAATCTTTAGTTAGTATCTAAGGTGCAAAGTCGAAGCTGACTGCCCTCCTGACTGTGAGCTGCCTTGAAGGTCGAGTGTATCACATCATCCCTTTGCCAGCCCCGCCTCTCCGTAAGGGAGAGCGTGATTATTGACACATTAGCTTCCCAGGGTTTACAGCCTGCTTAGCTCAGCAGGGGGTCAGGAAATCCCCAGCCAAGAGGCAGGACCTGCATAGACTGTGCTGCCCGGGCTGTGGCCAGGAGAGGACACAGGCAGCAGAATGAGGAGTAGACCAGTGGAACTCCCCACGTGAGAGGCAGTGACATTTGGAGTTCTCTCAAGAATTTCACAGTATTAGGACAATTCTTTTGCCCACATGTCCTAGGAGTCTGTGCTGAGTCACGGTCAAGTGCTGTTGTGCTCTTGGGAGAGAGTGAGCCCAGGGGGCTGAGATGCACTGGTACTTCCTTTCCCCAAGTGCTGCGGGACCAGACTTAGCGAGTAGCCACGACACATCCATGGGGTCAAACCCAAGTAAAGGGGATTGCCACATGGGCACCCTGTCAGATTCCTGTCCCCCAAGGCGTGGCCCACCCTGGGGCATCAGGTGGTATTGTTTTCCCAAGTGTTCAGATAATTCCTTCGAGGCCATAGCTTGCCTTCATCTGGTCGTGACTGAATAAATATTGTTGGCATACGTTTCTCGAGCTTTCTACCCTGCCAAGGATCAGAGAAGCCTGTTCTTCCTAATGTGAAGGGTTAGGGGCTTTTTTATTTGTAATCCCTTCACAATAACCTCAGAGATGTATAGTAGGAAGTTGAATTTTGATGTGGTTGTTTTGTGCAAATTGGTGTTCGAATTGGTATTTGAGGGTGCCTTTCACATCTGGAAAGATGTGGGGAGCTCACCTTCAGCAGATGAGAAGCTGTGTGGGGCTCAGTCCGGACAGATGGGTCAGGGAAGGCATCCCACCTGTGGTGTCTAGGAGGGCCTGGGGTCTGGGACTGCCCCCACCAGAACAGTGGGCGCCGTGCTGCCCTGTCCCCATGCAGCTTCCGGGAGCCCAGCAAGCCGAGGCCTTCGTGAGGGCCTTCCTGAAGCGCAGCACACCCCGCATGAGCCTGCAAGCCCGCGAGGACCAGCTGCAACGCAAGGCTGTGGTCCTGGAGTACGCCACTCGCCGGAAGCGCAAGGAGAAGAGAAAGAAATCCAAGGGCCTCTCTGCCAGGCAGAGGAGGGAGCTGCACCTCTTCGACATTAAGCCAGAGCAGCAGAGGTATGCCAGGGCTTTCCTGCCTTTCTCCCAAAGGCAGCTTCCTCCTCTTGGAGTGGATGTGGCTTTGGGAGACCCAGTTCCCCTGAAGCTAAGGGAGCTTCTCCCACTGCCGCCACGAGGGGGCAGCCTCCCTTTCCCAACTCAGGCTGGGTTTGCACTTGGCTTTCACAGCAAGGCACAGCCAGGGTCTTGCTGTTTGTCTGGCTGTGCCTTGCTGTGAAAGCCAAGTACAAACCTTGCCTGAATTTCTCCTCAGGGAGCAATGGTGCAGCAAGACTTAAGTTTAGTTCGTGAAAAGCCGTCCAGATGAGCACCCCCAGGGCCCCGGGCTGGTGTGGCAGAGACTCGGGCGGTGCTGCCCTGGGAGCACCCGGCTGCACCGCCATCTGTGCAGGGTGCCTCATGGTGTGAGGGGTCTGCTGGAGCGCCGGCCATCCAGGCTGCATGTAGCCAGGAGGAAGGATGGAAGGGCACCAGGAGGGTTCTAGCAGCGGAAACAGGTTCAGGAGGGGGACGAAGTTGTCTGTCGGGTTATCTGCTGTGGAACTAGGATCCGCACCCACTTCCCCATGACCCGGGTCGGGGTCCTTGGCATTTGGCTGCGCTCTGTGCCCTGTTAATGTCACAATCCCAAGCTCAGGTCACCTAACTCTTTACTTCTTTCTACCTTTGCCACAGATACAGTCTTTTTCTCCCTCTGCATGAACTCTGGAAGCAGTACATCCGGGACCTGTGCGGTGGTCTCAAGCCAGACACGTGAGTTGCATGTCTGCAGCCCTGCCCTTTGGGGCAGAACCCAAGGCTTACGATGACTGTGAATGCAGCCTTCGGAGCCAGCTGGCTGCAGAAGTTCCTAGACCTGTGTGCCCCTTCAGAGCTCTCGCTCATGGTCAACACTGAGGCCTTCTGCTTACCTTCTAGGCAGCCGCACATGGTTCAGACCAAACTGTTGAAGGCAGATCTTCACGGGGCTCTCGTTTCAGGTACCTCACCTACGAGCCCACAGAGCAGCGTGGCTCTGTGACACAGGGCTAGACACACTCTTGTCACGTGGACGTTTCCAGATCACCAGCATTGAGGGTGGGAGATGACTAGCTGCCCGTGCCAGTTCTGGCCACTTTTTGGATGTACTCTCAATGGTCTTCGTGTGTCTTTCTACACAGGGACCTCTGCTGCCCTCCCAGGGGGCACAGCAGCTGTTGGCACGTGTCCCCAGCCCTGAGTGGAGAGTCCCTTTCATCCATTTCCCCACAGTTTTCAGCTACAGACTCCCAGCTCCCAGTGTCATCTCCAGGGCAGACCTTCCCCTGAGCATCGTCATTCATCCAGCCGCCCTGCACACAGCTGCCCCGCTGTCCAGCAGGCATCACAACCTGTCCATACCCAGAACAACTCCGGCCTCCTCACATCAGCCCCTGCCCTGGTGTTCCCAGCTCAGTTCCCAGTACCAGTGTTTACCCTAGTTGTTCACCCAAAACCTGGGCGGTAACACCTTTCTTCTTTCCTACTCCCTCAGCACCATCCATCAGCATGTCCTAGCACCCAAATCCAAGCCACCACCATTGCCCCTGGATTCCGGTAGAAGCTGCCTAGCCCTCTCCCTGCTGACACACTGCTTCTCCCCAACCAGGCAGCCCGAGGGAAGGTTTTAGGCCAAAACTCGGGCCATGTTTGTCTTCTGCTTCCTTACTGAGGTCTAAAAGGCCCCTCTGGCTCTACTGAGCACCAGGTCTAACCACATTGGCCTGCTTTCTGCTTCTCACACACTAGGCTTGGCCCCACATCGGGCCTTTGCCATTGTTCCTTCCCTCTGCCCAGAGTTCTGTGTGTCACAGACTGACTGCTTCTCAGTATTCAGGTCCCTACTCACACGTCACTTCCCCTGAGGACCTACCATCACTAACAGTGAGCCTTCTCCCCATGACCTTGTGTATTTCTTCATAACAGTTACCATGATCAGAAAATGCAGTCATCTCATGTGGCACACATTCCCTCCTACCTTTAGAACATCAGCTCCTTGAGAGCAGAACCGAGAACTTGTTCTTGTTCACTCTCGTGCCCAGCACTGACCTCGGACAGTGCCAGGCATGTGGCAGGTGCTCAGTGACCTGTCTACAGGCTACACTGGGACATGGGTCAGGAGAGCCGAGGGGCCGGCTGCCTGTGGTGGCAGTTCGCCTCAGTTATGCTTCACCACCTGTAACAAGATCCCATTCTGGCCAGAGTTTGGTGGGTCGTGGGAAGGATGTGATGCACTGGTGTTCCTTCAGATCCTATCGCTGAGACTTGGCCCCATCCCAGCAACCTGTGGATCTTGGTGGTGCTGGACACACATGTGATCTCTTGGCTCCAGAGTCCTTCCCAAGACCCCCATGGCTGCAGGCCCTCCAAAGGACGTCTTGTCAGAACAGTCCAGAGACTCCAGAGCCAAAGTCAAGGGACTGGGACCCCAGACTCTCATCCAGCTTGGTCCCTGTCCAGCTGAGGACCCCACCTCCCCACTCCCCACCACCCCCACCTAGCTGGTTGTGGCTGCCCAGCACCCCCGAGGCTGAGGCCTTGAATGCCCTTTTCCTTTGCAGTCACGAAATCCAAATGCCCGTCCTATGTGGGTGTTACAGGAATCCTCCTACAGGAAACAAAGCACGTTTTCAAAATCCTCACCAAAGAAGACCGCCTGAAAGGTACGGAACTGCGTCAGGGTGTGTGGCCTGTGGCCTCCCCGGCTTCGTCGGCCCTTTCCTCGTGGCTTCAGTGGGTCCATTTGGCCTCTCAGGTCAGCACAGATTGCAGATCCTGCTGACAGTGCATTCCACACCTGCCACCTGCTGAGAGCGTCCCTGCCCTCACTGCTCTCCCCAGGGCATCTGGAGCCCACCCAGCAGCCGCAGCCAGATACAACTGGAGACAGGGCTGCTGGGCTGCGCTTCCAGATACGAGGGTCCGTTTCCATGACTGAGACCCTCCCCTGCCCCAACCTACTGCCCTGCCCCAAGGAGTGGAGCTAAGAAGACCCTGAGGGGAGCCAGCGTAGTGCTTGTCCCTGGGGTTCCAGGATCTGGCCCTTTCCGGTAACCCTTTGGGTTCCAAGAAAGCAAGTTCAGCCTCCCCCGTGGGTGTGCCAGAGCTCCTTGTTCTGGCAGAGACGAGCATAAGCACCTGGGCTCTTGAGATTCTGAGATTGCAAAACCACAATGGGAGGTTTTTGTTCCTTTATTTTGGAGGTATTTTTGTGGGGTTTTTTTTTTGTTGTTTTCTCTCTGCTTCCTTCTGTTTCCTTGTATGGTCTTGTCTCATTTTAAACCTCAGAAAGTGGTGTCTGGGTGCCCTCACTCATGGCATAAAGCCGTGAGTCAGTCTAAAAACCATGCTGGGAGACCCGTTTCTCGCACTTTTTCTGCGAGTGTTTGCCTGAGAGCCTTTGACCCTAAAAATTAGTGTTGAGTTATATTCAAATCTGAATACATCGGTCTTACAGCAGAAAAACACCCTGTTTTCCTGTGCTGCTGAGCTTTGTGGACTCTGTTCCTTACTAGCTTACGTTCTAATGCAGACATTTTAGGAAGGTCTTGTGCTTTAGCGTGAGCTTAACCGTCAGGATTTTTTTTGCCTTGTTCTTTTTCTCCTGTTTTTTTTTTCCAGTTATCCCCAAGCTAAACTGTGTGTTCGCAGTGGAAATCGATGGCTTCATTTCCTACATTTATGGAAGCAAATTCCAGCTTCGGTCAAGTGAACGATCTGCCAAGAAATTCAAAGCGAAGGGAACAGCTGACCTGTAGCTCTCTGCTGCGGAGACGGCTGTTTGGGACCCCAAGGACCGGGGACACCTGCGTGCCCACCTTTCAGCGGAGACACGGCTGGGCTGGTTCTGCTTCTAGATCACCCCCAGCCCATTAATACCGGAGTTAAGAACAGTTCATCATCCGGGAAGACATGCGCCTTACTGAGCAAAGTGAGGGAATGGAGGGGTGTCTTTCTAGGTGACGACGGGTGAGCATTGCTCCCACTGAGGAAGTCGCTGCCTTCCCTGTGAAGTGGCTCGTTCTTCCGCCCATCCGAGTGTGCCACGCGGGGCACAGCCTGGTACTACGGTTCCCTAATCCAGCTGCTCCTGCCCACCCCCCTGTAGGGAAATGGTGGCCAACATGTAAATATACAACTGCTTCCAGAACCGTTGGTGCCACTTGGCTTGTGAAATGTTTTTCATGGCTCAGACTCAAGTTTCTCTGTGAATGGCTGTTTCATTAGTAGCCTTCTCTCCCCGCTTACCCGAGGACACTTGACAAGAACACTCACCTGCCATGAAGCTGCCACTGTGCCCGCCTGTTTCCAGGATGCCCTGTTGTCCCCACAGCCCACCTGGGGTCACTGGGTCCTGTGCCCTGAAGACTGTGCCCCTGACGGCCCAGGCCAGGCGGGACACTGGCTCTCGGTGAGCATCCTGATGAGGCCGCACCAGCTGCTCCCCAGAACCAGGCTGAGGCCTCCGGCAGTGGACCAGGGCTGGCCACGTCCCCACAGCTGTGGCACAGGGCCGGTTGTGGAGGGTGCTGAGGTAGCCTGCAGTCCGGGCTCCTACCTCCACTGCCCCAGTAGAGCTGTGGCCTTGGAGGTGTAGGCCTGTGGCAGACAGCTACGTCAGCCTCACTTGTTGGTCTCACGCACTGGAGGAACCAGAGAGGCCCACAGAGCAGCAGAGTGGTGACCACCTGGGGACGGGACTCAGGAGCCACAAGGCCAGGACAGGCACCCACTGTTCTCCAAAATGTGAGTGGGCCCGCGGGCCCTTTACGTTCCCCGGTACCAACTCCATGTGGGGAACCGGGCCTTCCTGCAGGGACAGAAGACAGGCTGGAGCCCCTCCAGGGGAAGAAGAGGACAAAGCACCTGGAGGGGGAAGCGAGGGCGGCACAGGTCATGGCCCCTGCGTTAGCTGGGGCGGCCCCAACCAAACCGCAGACGGGCAGTGTAAACAGAACATCCTTCCCCAGCGCTGCAGAGGCTGCAAGTCCGAGTGTAAGGTGCCCTCCTGGGTGGGGTCCGGTGAGAGCCTTCTCCTTGGCCCCTTCTTGCTGTGTCCTCGTGTGGCCTTCCTCAGTGCACACCTGCCGGGAAAGAGAGCCATCTGGTGTCTCTTCCTCCTCTTATTGGGACACCAGTCCTGTAGGCTAGGGTTCCACTTTATGACTTCATTTCACCGTAATTGCCCCCTTAAAGGCTCTATTTCTCAGTGCAGTCACACGGGGGATGAGGGCTTTGACAGGAACTTGTGGGGACATGATTCAGTCCAGAACAGCCGTGGAGCTGCCCACCCGGAACAGGAGCCCCTAGCAGAGCCCCTCAAAAAGGTTCCAGTACCCAGCCTGGCTCCCGTCCTCAGACACTGGCCTGGCCGGCCCGCAGCCCTGCCTAGGTTGCTGGCGCCACTAGCCGGTTCAGCTGGTCCAGCTGCTGGGCCCTGAGCTCCCCTCAAAACTGGGTTCCATGACTGTCTCAGACAGGAGCTTAGGTCCAACGGCCTCTCCACTGCTGGCTTCCCTCTCACTTCTGCAAACCACTGAGCTCCTCCATCACCCTCCCATCAGGCATAGGGACAGTAGTGGGGGAGGAAACGCATGCACAGGGGGCAGGGTGGACAGGGAGGTTCCCTGGAGGGGGGGCTTGATCCAGGCTGCCGTGGGATGTGAAGAGGGACACTGAGGCTTGGGACCAGACCGGCAGAGCAGTCATGGAGGCCCAGGACATCGCTTGCCCATGAGACTCAGGGCCAGCAGGAAGGAAGGTGGGAACGGGTGGCAGAGCTCTGGCTTCCGATCCCAAACTCATAGGAGGTGCTTCAGGTCCTGCCTGGTTCCGTGGGAGGGGAGAGGTGCTAGAGAAGTTGTAAGCCCCTGGGACGGGGCAAGGTGCGGAATCCTGCTGACCCACTCGTCCAGTCCTGACATGCTTGGGGGCCTCCGTGTCACCAACTGGCAAATGGGGCCATGAGACCAGATGAGGGTTTCCTGAAGGGGGATCCTGGGACTTCCAGCACCTGCATTAGCGTCACTAGGACACGCGTTCAAAGCAGCCAACTCCTGGGCTGCCGTCAGACTCCAGGAGCCTAGACGACTTCGTGGGTCTCTCAAACCCCAGCTGGCTCTTCCGGTCACTGAAGTGTGAGGATCGTGGATCCCAGATGGTGGCGCAAGTGTCTTCTAGCTCTGACATCTGGACTGTGATTTAAGATTTGGGACTCTCAGGATGGGGTTTTCCGGATGCTGGAAATGCTGGAAAAGATTGTCAGTGACGGATCTCTCAGGTTCTGAAGAGTAAACATGAACATTCCCCCAAAAAGCCATAAATTATGGTAAAAAGCTGTCTTTCTGGACAATGGCTTTCGTTTTAATTTAGTTTGCATTTCTTAGCTATAATGTCTAATTAAGACATCTGTTAAATGTCTATAATATTAATTTGATGGGGGGTTCTAATAGAACTGTATTGGAATTGTCCATTTAATTAACCTCGTGGGCCTTTAATGGATGTCTTAAATAGACATCATTAACAAGAGTGCTAGACAAATTAAAATTAGAGTCAATAACATTCTTGGTCATTTTTCCTGAGCTGTGAAGGACGAGTGTTGCTAAGTAGACAGACGCAAAGACGGGCTGCACAGAGGAGTGTGGGGGCTGGTGTCCCCAGCAGGACTCCAGCATGGACGAGGCCCCAGGTCGGGCTCAGTCATTCTGTGTCCTGGCCTCCCCTTCGTGCACCTCCCACACACGACGCTTGCTGGCCTGTCCATCAGATCGAGCTCTGATGAGGAGAAGGTAGCGAGGGAGGAAGAGGAACCTAAATCCCGGGCCTCTGCATGGCTCGCATTGAGATGAAACAGACATGAGACAGGACAGACGAGAATGGGGCAGGATGGGCTGGGCTGGGGGGTGGAGTGCGGTAAGAGGGGAGGAAGTGGGGAGCATGCCCGTTTTCCCCCACCACCCCGCAGAGCAGTCTCCCTCAGGTGAACTTCACTTCCAAAGCCAGGGCTGGGTTCCCATCTGCACATCACAGGTGGCCTCTCAGGGCGGCTGACAGTTAACCACTGCCTCCCTCCTGAGGCACTTGTGTCCCCACTCTCCCTGACGGTCCCCCACCTCCTGGCCACTCCCTCTCTGTCCTTTCATGGATCCTCCTCCTCCTCCAAGCTTCTAAATATTGGAACGCCCTGAACTCCGTCCTTGGACTCCTCACCTTTCCCCTCAGCTGGTCTCACCCACAACCCCCAAAACACACCTGACTCAGAAGATCCTGTTGGCAGCCCTGCTTCTCCCCAACCCCACAGCCGAATCTGGAACTTTATCGTTGGCCTCCCCTAATTCCAGCGGGAGCTCGTTTGAGCTCACGGTGGCTCTGTTTGGATGGCTAATGTGTCCCCAGTGATCTAGAAGCCCTCGCTGACCTGAAATGGGTGCTCAGTGAACATTCGCCGGGGAATGGAAACCACGGCTGGTTGACCAAACCCCTGGGAGTGTAATGGGCTCCTGACCTGAAGAGGCTGGGCAAGAATCAAGGACTCTCCCCCACAAGGGTGCTCCCCCTCTACCCCCATCTCGGTGAATGGCCTCTGTCTCTCCATTTAGGTCAGAAACACAGGAGGCCTCCTACCCCCTGCCTGGTGTTGGCTCCTGCCCCCATCCGATCTCTCATGAAGTGCTGGTGGCTCTCCCTCGTCTTCCCTGCACCTGCTGCTCTCAGCCACCCTCCCACCACCCCTTGAGGCCTCCCTGCCTCCACATGTGGCCCCAACACAGCTCAGGTGACCGTTGTGAAGCAGGACTCAGATCATGTCACTCTTCTGCTCAAAACCTACAAGTGACTTCCCAGTACACTTAGAATTAAACCCGGTGTCTGACCAGGGTCATCAAGGGCCCCCAGGACCTAAACCCAGCCTGCCTCTCCCAGCTCCCCAGTGTCCTGCCTCCGTGCCTTCTCCATAGCTCTGTCCCACTCAGACCACTCGCACCTTCCCGGGACCTGTGAGCACCAGGCAGCCCCCTCCTCTGCACTCAGCTCTCCACCGCTGGCTGGCCTCCCTCTCAGCAGTCTCCCAGCGGTCCCTTAGCATGTGACCTCATTTCACACTGGACACAGCGTTTGTCAATAACCTTCCCTGCTGGGTCATTGTTCTCTTCCAGCAGAACGTACGCATCATGAACTCCAAGACTTGGCCTGGCTCCTCCACCCCTGCAACCGTTATACCTCAGCGCCCTCCAGAGCACTGCCCTCCACGTAGTAAGTGCTCCGTTAAATACTTGTAGTCTGACAGCGAGCCGAGGATGTGGCCCTAAGGGTGGCTAAGCCACAGTGACCTCCATCTGGCCCCAACAGACGCCTCCCCCCACTGTGCCTTTCCATAGCAGAGCAGCACCGGGTCCTGTGACCCCCAGGCCATCCCAGCCTTTCAGGCAGGCAGGCGCCCCAGAGAGCAGCAGTGCCTGGACACCGTGGGGGTCCTTCCCGCGTCCCTGCCAGGTGAGCGCTTACACACTGTGGGCAGCTGTGACCTGCAGCAGGCGAGGCAAACCCCCTCTGTCATCTCCAGTTTTACCCACTGGACCCAGGGTGCAAGGGGAGGCAGGCCGGGGCTGGTGCTGGGCAACCCGGCCTGGAGACCCTGAGCTCAATCAGGAGCCTGGCACTCAGGAATCCCGAGTTCAAGGTCAAATTAGTCTTGACTTTCCTTTTCAACCACAAGGGACATGGCTGAGTGTGGTGTTTATGGTAGATTCATTGAATCTGCAGGAATTAACCTGCAGCCCCTGTCAGGAGGGAGGGAGAGAGCTGCGGGTGCCTGCCCCTCTGTTCCGGGGACATCTGCCTTGTGGTGGCTGAGAGGGAAAAGCACCCCTAGTTGCTCTTCGTCTCCCCGGAAGGGGTGTGAGCGGAACGCGGTTCCTAGTTACGCCGCTGCTAACCAGTGGTGTGCTGGTCCGTGGCTGGGGGCTGGGAGCACGAGCGTCACTGGCGGATAGCT